CCCCCCCCCCCCCCCCCCCCGGCCTGCTTGCCACCCCAGACACAGCTTCTCTGGTTAAAGAGAGAGGAGAAATGGGGAGCGGGGGGAGGGCTGCGGTCCCGAGACTTACGTCCCCTTTCATCATCCGGACTCTGGCCAGCCACCAGCCGCAGGGTTCGTGCTCGTTGGCGCGGGAATACACCTGAAAAGACACACCCGGTTGGAGGAGCCTAAGGCCGAGCAGCCCCTTTCCCTCCGGGACGGCCCTGTTCTCCTTCTCCCCCCCCCTCCAATCCCCCCACCCCCACCCCTGCCACCCGGGCCGGGACTCACCTCCACCTCGTCCCCTTCGGAGATTTCTTTACTGTAATCCGGGGGTGGGGGCAGCCGCACGTCCCCAAAGGGAATTTGACGTTCCGGTTGCCAGCTTGGGAGGGAGGGGGGGGGGGGGGAAACAAGAAAGAGGGAAGATCAGCGAGGACACACCCACCGAAGGGATTCCCTTCTGGGGGGGGAGGACGCGGGGGTCAAGGATTGGGAGGAATCCAGGGTGTTCCGGATAGAATGGCATAGGAGGCGTGTGTGCAGGGGTTAGATTAGAAGACCTCTAAGGTCTCTTCCGGCCCTAGGATTCAACCGTTTCTCCCCCCCCCCCGAAAATACGACCTACCCAGAAAGTAAAGGCCTAGCTTGATTTTTTAATACAAGCCCTACCTGCAAAATAAGCCCTAGTTAAGAGCCCCACCCGCTCGAATGGATACCCAGACAACAGGATGCTTATGAAGCTCTAAGAAATGCAGCCTGTATCCCTGAAAATAAGCCCTACCCTGAAAGTAAGGCCTGGCTTGCTATTTTTACATGTGCACCCAATATAAGCCCTGCCCCCCCAAAATAAGCCCTAATGAAGATTCCCAGTCACTCGAATGGATACCCAGACAACAGGATGCTTATGAAGCTCTAAGCAATGCAGCCAGTTTCCCCTGAAAATACAAGCTACCCTGAAAGTAAGGCCTAGCTGGATTTTGACAGTGCGCCCAAAATAAGCCCTAATTAAGACCCCGCCCACTCCAGAGCAGATGGGTAAAAATTAAGCGAGGGTGGGGAATACGGGGTGGGTGGAGCTGCCCTGCTACTTCCCTTTGGACAGGTGTAGGCAGGCCCAGCACACCCCAACACCTGCCTCACCGGTCCGTTTCTTCTGCAGCCGGCAAGGCTTTCCTGAAGGCCTCTGGAGCTGATCTCAAAGCTCAGGATCGATCCAGAGGTCTGTTACCGGTTGCAAAGGCCTTCAGGAAAGCCTTGCCGGCCGCAGGAGGAGCACTTCCGGAAGGAGACCGGGGGGGGGGGGGGGCGACGCATGCAAGTGAGGTCACTCAGTGGAGGATATTTCCCCGAAAATAAGACCTGGTGACTCCTTTTGGTGGGTCTCTCTCTCTTTCTCCCTCCCTCTATATATACATATCTGTATATCTATGGTATTCAGCTTTGTTCGGGTATTTTCCCACATCATTATAGTTGTGCTTTTAAAGTTGTAGCAACGTTTCGGCAGAATCTCATCTGCCATCGCCAGGCTTGGGTTTGTCTGCTTGTTGCTACAACTTTAACTATAATGACGTGGGAAAATACCCGAACAAAGCTGAATGCCATACATATAAATACCTGCAAAAACTTAAGAAAACATATATATGAGAGACAGGGTCTTATTTTCGGGGAGACACGGTACCTGCAATCAAACTTTGAGGACTGAGTTGTGACGAGGTGAGTGCCAGTCCAGCGTCTTGACCTGCTCTTCCCTTTCTTCTAAACAGGTGGTCTCCTTTCTTTTCATTGGGCAGAGAGAAACACCCACCCACCCCACCACCCCGTTCAAATATCTCGGTGCAAAGCCCTCCGTCCTTGGGTGGAAGTGGGCTGGAGGACAGGTTGCCTAGAGGTCTCGCAAAGCTGTGTCGTGGCATCCCAATTTGCTTCCCCCTCCCCACGCAAGCATGGCACAGCAGCCATGTGAGCAGGCGGCATGTCACCGAGGCCCAGACTCGGATGCTTCTAGAAGCCGGAACGAAGGAGAAAAAACTTCCTGCCAGGGAGGACAATCCACCGGTGGGACTGCTTGGCCCCCGGAAGTTGTGGGCGCTCCGTCCCTGGAGGCATGGAAGAGGAGACTGGACGGTCCTTTGTCTGAACTGGTCTAGGGAAAGGGTCTTTTGTGGATTTCCAACTCCCGGAATTCCTGGAGCTAACCTGACTGGAAGGAGGAATCCTGGGAGCTGGAAGTCCACAAGACTTCAAGCTGTCCAAGTTGGAAGACAACACCCCCCCCCCCCCCCCGTCTAGGGCTTCCTGCCTGAGCAGCAGGTTGGACTAGAAGACCCTCCAAGGTCCCTTCTAAGTGTTGTTCTGTTA